GGCTCCTGTATACTGACCTGGTGGTCGTCCCCCTTCATTCCCCACAGTTCTGCCGGATTCCCCCCTCCCTACAGTTGCTGCAAGGGGATCTGTCAGGATAGACTAGACTGTCCTCTGGGGCTCTGAGCTGAGAGAGTACCTTTCCTACAGCCCAGAGCCAGTGCTTACAGTTGCTCTCCACCACACCACCACAGACAGGAGAGGAGAGAGGAGTCTGGTTCTGCCCCTCCTTTTCCCCCTCTCTCCCTCCTGTGTCTGCCCTGCCGACTCTCACTGACAGTCTTTTGTCTTCTTTCCCCCTTTATTTCTCTTTCTCTCTCACCAAAAGGGGCTCCTGAAATTTAAAAATAAATAAATAATAAAATTGTAAAAAATAACTTAAAAAAAAAAAAAATAAAAACCTACTGACACTAGTGGCTGAACTACCAGGGTTGCAAAGGTCACTGTTGCGACCGTGTCCTGGCGTTCCATCACCGGGCTCCAAGGAAAGGGTCCCGGGGCTTGGTGCTGCTTGGTTTACAATGCACAGTTCTGTTTTTTGTCCCTGTCCGGACCTGACTGTCAGAGTGATCCTTGTTGTCTAGAAATGAGGAAAGCTATGGAAAGAAAAAGACCCTTTTCACATGGAGTGGAATCTGCTTCTACCCACTTCCTGAATCTGTCTGCTGATCTCCCACTGAGCAGAGCAGAGCGCGGTGATCGATGATCCATCCACATCCACTATGGACAAGTCAGATGTATGTGGACTGGCTGTCTATTTACATCTGACTGCCCTTTGATCTGATTGGCCCAGACAGAGGGAAACAAATCCCCTCCGATTGTTTTTGGAGAATCGAATCAGTTTGGAGCTCCATAGAGTTCTGCCTGATAAACGGACAGATGGACCCGATCTGACCGCTCGTGTGAAAGGGAGCCAAACCAGTAGGCTCAATGCACTAAAGGATGTCACATGCAATATTTGGACCAGTGGCACATTTTTCCCAATTATCACATGCCATATTGAAAATATCAATTCGCTATCCCTTTATGCTGTAGAAACAGACATAGAAAAGTGATGGCAGAAAAAAGACTAAGTGGTCCATTGAGTTTGTCCATTTTTTTTTCAATACAGCTTTTGCATTTATTTGTTTGGGGGTTTTTTTTGTCGTTTTTGTTTTGTTTTTACTTTTTCACTAATATTTTTGTTTGAGTATAGATCTAAAACCACTTACTGTTGACTGACTCACTACCTCTGCTGGAAGTCTATTCCAAGCATCAACTACCCTTTCAGTAAAATAATACTTTCTAAGATAGATAGTTTGAGGTCATGTCCCCGTGTTCTTGATTTTCATTTCATATTGAAAATAATGCCCTCTTGAACCTTATTCACCCTCTTGATGTATTTAAAGGTTTCATATCTTCCCTTTCCCTTCTATCCTCCAGACTATACGCATTAAGTTCCTGAAGTCACTCTTGATAAGTTTTATCCGTGACACCTTTCACCATTTTTGTTTATCGGTCTCTGGACTCGTTCTATCTTATCAAAATCTTTTTGTAAGTATGCTCTCTAAAACTGGACACAGTGGGGGTTATTTACTAAAACTGGAGGGTGCAAAATCTGGTGCAGCTCTGCAAAGAAGCCAATCAGCTTCCAGTTTTTTTTGTCAAAGCTTAACTGAACAAGCTGCAGTTAGAAGCTGATTGGCTGCCATGCACTGCTGCACCAGGTTTTGACTCTCTAGTTTTAGTAAATCAACCCCTTTGTGTCTGCCATTAACAGAATTCCACAAGTGTTGTCCTGAAATGAATGTAATTAATGTAGATAAGGGAAATCATTACAACGTGAATTACCTATGGTAGGCAAATACATTGCAGATATACTGCAGAAGATCAATTCTGATTGTTTTCTGTGCAATAGGGTCATCATAAGTAGGGCACTACAAATCTTTGCTTAAAGTGGTAGTAAAATCCACTTTGCATATTTTTACCTACAGGTAAGCTTTTAATAAAGTTTACCCGTAGGTAAAATGAAGCTCCATTCACACTATGCTTTTTGGAATTGCCGCGATTCTGCCCATGATTTGAAAACGCGCTGACAAAGTGTGAAAAAGCACAATCGCATTTTCAGGTACCATTCTTTTCAATGGCACCCGAAAATGCATGCCGTTTTTGCTGTAACTGCGGCATGTTTTTCCATTCGGCAAATTTTAATTATTATACAGGATTTATATAGCGCCAACAGTTTGTGCAGCTCTTTACAATATAAGGGAGACAGTACAATTACAATACATTTCAGTACAGAAGGAATATGAGGGCCCTGCTCGTGGAGCTTACAATCTAAAGGATGCACCGCGATCACGCAAACAAAATCGCGGGAGGAGCGCGATTTTGTGTGCATGATCACAAAGTGAATGGCACCTGAAAACATGATTGCACGTTTTCACACTTTGACAGCGCAGTTTCAAATCACAGCCAGAATCGCTGCGATTCTGCCCACGATTTGAAAAAGCATAGTGTGAATGGAGCCTTAGACGTTCACCGTTTAGGAGATATTCTATGGAACAGCAGCCGGTAACAATACCACACATGCACTCTGAAGAAACGGCATGCCTGTGCCATTCCTTCAGAGCTGTGTGCCATGGCCGAAACTAGTGATGTCATTGGCAGCTCAGCCATTCAAGCAGCCACAGCCCATAAACCTGGAAGGAAGACCGAGTGAAGATGAAAGCCTTCTGCAGTGGTGACAGCATGCCGCTGGAGGGCTTCATTCTAAGGTGAGTCTTTCTAATGTGCTATTATGTAATGCATACTAGCACATTATATTACCTTATACAAGGAAATGTTTTTTTTTTTTTTAATACATTTATTTTTAATATATTTTCTTTTTTTTAATACATTTAGTGGCAATAATGCTGTATTTTTTCTGATTGACATATTGAAAAATATGCATTATTGTTACTAGATGGTACTGACGATCTTAGGAAACAAACCTATTAAAGTGGATCTAAACCCTCCTATCCTTTACAGCCAAGGAGACTGTGATTGTAGCCTCTGATGGATCTGCAGTTGCTATGGTACTGCACATTTGATCAGTTATGACATCAACCATTTGGTGACTTGACAGCTTGGTTGTGATAATAAGCAACTGTGACAGTTATTATTCATGGCATGTCTTGAATGTAACTGTTTTAAGAAGACAATGGATTTAGTTCCACTATAAGCAAATCACAGTGAGGATCTGTTGTGGCTATACAAATGATTGATACTCTGCACAGGAATTCATGACTACATTCCACAAATTACCATTCCTCATTTAATAATGGTGCCCCTAATAACCACTTTTATTAGGCAGCGGGATACCAATAGGCAGGGCTTAGCCTAGAAGACTGGTAAGTCAGTCCTCCATCAAAAAGTGAAACTTATTTCAAAGGTGGGACTTTTAAAAAAGCTCTGTCAAATTTGCATTTATACAAAGACATTTCTATAGACAACATTTCTAAAGGCATAGATGCATGTAACGATTTTCCAATGGTGCCATTCAAAGTCTGTTTATCTGCTTTTAGGTGTGATCAGTTAAGCTGTGTTTAGAGCAAATAGCATTTTTTACATCCAGAATCTGATTAGATGTTCTAAAGGTGGCTAAATGCAGGTAGACGTATCTAAAAAATTAAAATTTGCTATTAGACCCCTTTCACAAGAAGGGTCCGATCAGGTCAGCCTATCAGTTTTTCAGACAGGCCCAACCGGACCCTCCATTAACCCCTGTGGACCCTTGGTTATAAATGGACTTCCATTTACACCTGCCTACCTCCATTCAGATCCAGTCTGCTTAGAAAAAACAAACAAACAAACAGAAAGGGGATCTGTCCCCTTCAGTCTAGGCCAAGCAGATGGGAGGGTAGTCAGGTGTAACGGATGGTGCAATTTGTTTATTCCCGACTTACAGTGAAGTCGCACAATTTCAAAGTCGGGTGAGATGCCGATTTCAGGTGCAATTTGCAAGACATCTGACACAGATGTCTATACAAATTGCACCAAAAGTAATACATGTACTACTTTAGAAATCGGTGCGGCTCCAACCAAGTTGGAACTCTACTCTCCGACCAAGTCTGTCCGATCTGACCACTCTAATTGCGGACAGTAGGGTTGTGACTTGGCATGTGATTTTCAAGTCACATAGCATACAAATCGCATGCCAAGTCACACCCGATGTGAACAGGGTGGAAAATAGCAAGTAACAAAAAACTGACAGGTTATATGGGTTACCTAGACCACACCCAGGTAACCCTTTGCGTGCTTATGGTAAGATACACAATCAAAAGTTTGTGGACATCTGATAATCTCACGTATGGCAAAAATTATGTGATGCCCCCTCCTACAGTAATTGAGTGCAGGTGTTTCCAATGAAGGTTCTTGGTAATGTTACAGCATACAAAGAAATATTAAACAACTGTGTGCTTCCAACCTTGTGATGACAGTTTTAGGACGTGACTGTACCCAAAAGTCAGGTCCAAAATGATATGGTTTGATGAGCTTTGTTGTGGAGGAACCTAAGTTGCCTTCACAGAGTCTTGAGCTTGGTGTGGAGGAACCTAAGTTGCCTTCACAGAGTCTTGAGCTTGGTGTGGAGGAACCTGAGTTGCCTTCACAGAGCCTTGACTTCAACTCTATTAAAAATCTTTGGGATATACTCAAATGCCTATTGCGTGCCAGACCTCGTTCAACATCAATACTAGACCTTACAAATGCTCTTTTTACTAAGTGGACCAAATTCCCACAGACACGCTTTCCAGTGGAATATGTTATAGCCCCAAAGTGTTGTTCTGTTGTGTATCAATGTGCATGGTTCTGGAATGGCATAAATATCAAACTCGTATATTGTAGGTGTGATGTTCACGTGTCCTCAAACTTTTGGTGATAAAGTGTATCAGACTACAAAAAATGAAATTCATTTGTAAATGTATAATGTTAATAATGCAGTGTTTTTCTTATTTCATTGCAGTGTGCTACGAAGAATATAAATGGATTCAGAATACTTGAAGAGATGTTTAGGAAACTGTCTTGCAGAGGGACTGGCAGAAGTAGCAGAGAAAAGACCAGTGGACCCTATTTATTATCTGGCACACTGGATCTACAAATATAGAAGCAACGTAGATGAATATGAAAAGGTAACTTTAAAGCAGGTTATACTCGCCTCACCCTCCAGCTTTGCAATGTCTGCAAGCTCCCTCACCCACGCCAACCTCTTCACCGGTCTTCTTTTTCATATTTGGGATCTTCAGCCAGGGCCATGGATAAGGGGGTACCACCAGTCCTCCTGTAAGGGGCCAAGGCCAACAGGGGGGCCCAGGTAACTGGGTGAATCGGATGTGAGCAGGGAGGGTGATCGGCACGGCTGAGGGTCAATTACTTGAACCGATCCCCTGTGTAGCTCTCTGCAGCAGGTGAAAGCTGGCTTCTTCTCCTATTCCTCCCACTGGCTTTCAGCTGCTGCAGAGAGATCCATACAGGGGATCGGTTCCAGTAACTGCCCCCTCCGCACCCATCACCCTCCCTGTACACCATACATGTCCCTCTGTTGCCCATGCCCCCTGTGTGCCCCACCCCTGCAATGCTGCTGGCTTCCCTCCTCTCCTTCTTACCGGCAGCTGCAAGTACTCAATAGGATCCTTCAGGATGGAGAGTAGAGGAAGGGTCTGGTAAAATATGTCACATTTATCAGCCCCTTCCTTCCCTGAATGGACACAGTTAATGATCGGTACCTATCACTAACTGTTCATTCATAACTGAAGCATAGTAAACTGTGCACTTTTTTTTTTTTTTTTTTGAGGGGGGGCCTGTCAGGTTGGCTATATGGGACCCCGTGGCTTCTAACAGCAGCCCTGTCTTCAGCCATCTTGATTGGCCTTGCCAGGAGGACTAAATTCCCATACAATCCTAGGAAATCGTTTATCCTGGAAGATGCCAAAACTGTATATTTGTTTTCATCAACATGTGCACAGTGTCTCTAACAAATAGAGGTCCCAAGGGAACCTCTGTTCATTATTGCACAGTGGCAGCGCACCCCCCCCGGAATGCTGTCACTGTGCAGGGAAAAATGCAGACACCTATAGCAGCTCATTGTATAAATTCTTCTCCCTTTCCTGCAATCAGGGAGTGATTATTGGGGGGAGAAAGAAATGCAGACTGCCCAATGTCTGCTCCCTCTGTGGTGAGTGCCCATTCAGACCTTCATCAGAGGAAATGTGTCAACTGTCTCCTCTCCTCTGCTCACCTAGGCAGAGAGAGGAATGAGGGAGGTGGTAGCCTCTTCCAGCTCATCCTCCCTGTGATATGCATATGTACAGTCAGAAAGAGTCAGCCTGATATGCAGATCTGCTCCAGGTCAAACCAAGCACAGATCTGCAGTTAATATCTGTGCCATATTGTAGCACAGATATTAGTCTATATGGTGCAAAAACTGCAACATTTCTATAAAAAAAAAAAATCACAGTTTGTGATTTGCCAAATTTTGGCGCACATGAAGCAAATCCTTTTCAACATAGATGCACTATATTCTTTATTTGTTGCATGTCAAGCGTGCCAAAAATATAGCGTAAAAACAAATGTTTATCTGGCCCAGTATATCTCTTCTGCAATAAAAAGCCTGCCCTTTGCACATTTGTATATTGTATGTAGAGGTTTATTATATGTACACAATGAAATGTTAAAGTGGTTGTAAACCCTTACATATACCCAGTGAAGTGACTGGCCTCAGGTGATACACAGAGATGAAACAAATCCTTCTAGTTGCACCTGTTTATCTGAGGTCTTCTCTACATCTGTTCAAAATCCAGAATTTATAAAGCTTTTCTGAGAGTTTAAAAAAAAAAGGGGGCAAAGAACTGAAATTACACACTGCAGAGCTCAGTGAGGAGAGCTACAAGAGCTGATTGGAGGGAAGAGACACACGCCCCTCCACACAGCTCACAGGAGCAGAGTTGAGGCTTTCAGTCTGCTGGAGCTCCTTCCTCTATCACCATTTTTCTCTTGGTGCCGGGAAGACTTGTCAGAAGTGGCTCATGCTGATAGCAGAGGAATGAGGTAGCAAACTGAAATGATATTTACTGCTCTTAATTGAGACAAATACATACTATAGAGGAATATGCTTTGTTCATATTTCATGTCTCAGGTTTACAATCAGTCTAAAGAGGATCCGTCACAGTTGGTTACGTTATCTGGTACTGTTATGCACAATCAGAAGCTTGGAGGCAGTGTGTGAGGTCAGGCAGTTGAGAATGGCTGCAACTTTCATAGTATTGGTCCACTTACTTTCCGCTAAAAAAGGGGTTAACATACTGTAAGTATTTCATGTGTATGCCTCAGCAGTTATCATTAAAGAATGAGCAATCAGATCATTGCATAAGCTCATCATGATGAGTTCCCACAAAGGTGAATCGGTTATGTCAACAAAAGTGTGCATACTAATATTATTATTAAATTACAGGCACCTACAGTAACAGCAGACACTGACAGGTCCCTTAGCCTAGGTTCATACTATTGCTGCTACATAATCATGAGTTTTGCAATGCATTTTTGTAGTGCCTTTTTGATGTGTTTTTATGCTGTTTTTTTGTAGGAAAAAACTGGATTTTAAACACAAAACTCTCCCAAAAATATGCACTAGAAATGCATGAAAGAGCATTTTACAAGCACTTTCCATGTGCTCTGACTGGGGTCAAAAACAGACTGTGCTGCACCTAAGAAGCACCTGCATCTTTTTAAAAAATCACAGTGCACCATATTGTAATGATATGAAGGGGCACCATAGAGAATAATGTGATTTCCATTGTCATACATGGCAACGCACCAACAGACGCAGGAGGAATCACACTATTGTGAACTGGGGTCTTATTGATGAGCCTATAGAGCCCCACTTCAATTAATTAACTTCTCCAAAATTCATATTGCTGTTATTTTTTCTATAATGCTTTCTGGCTTTTTGAGAATCATATGGAAAATATTGAATACAAGTACAAAAATAATAAATGATAGAAAAAAAAAATGTGCAGCGCTAAAGTTGCTAACATATAAATTATATATAGCAATTCACAATAATAATGATAATAACATACATCAATAAGCACCAAAAGCGAAAAAGTGCAAAGTGACTAATACATAATACAGTCCATTGCCTGATGAACAAAGATCAGTGACAACAATCCAGTGGTGAACCTATTCTGTAGGACCTTCACCCCTATGCACTCACCTGACATTTGGCAAACATACGCCCAAAATGATGTAACGTGTAATGGCCTCCTTGACTCCTTCCTCACAGCGGACTCCAACCGAAATGACTGAGATGCGCATTAATAAAAAAGCTCACATGCGGAGCCTCATCCATAGAACTTTTATTTTTTTTTGTCAGTTTCTGTGAGATTTTGAACGGATTTTCAGATTGCATCATTTCCTGTCGATGGTCATCTCCAAGCGCTCACTACACCTTGCTTGTTTATAAGAAAAATAAATTCACATAACGAATATAGCTGGGGAGGCAGTAATACCTTTCATATGGTGTTCATGGGTGGTGCAGATACATTCCATTGTATGGTTAACAACACATTTGTTGTTTTTCACATAATCCAGCATTATGAATGGTGTGCTTGGGCTATATTTATCTGTTGTTTTTTTGTTTTTTTTTAAAGAGGAAACTGGAACGGGAGGAGCTGGAGAAAGAAAAAGAAGAAGCACGTAAGGAACTTGAGATGATTGAAAGACTGAAGGAAGAAGAAATTTTGATTCAACAGAGGATTGAAGAACAGAAGGTAGGTTTTGGACTTTGAATACCACGAAGAAGGGTTACAACTTCTGTGTACCCATTGGAGAAATTTCCCTTCACTTCCTGTTGTGGTCACAGGGTGTTGATGAGAAATCTCTAAAATGGAGACAGACAATGAAAAAAAAAAAAATCTGGGCCTTAGAGTGATTGTAAAATCACCTTGTAAAACAAACCATTCAGTTTTGAATGAATTGAAAGGCATTTGTGTAAAAAATTAAAAAACCTTATAAGTACATTTTTTCCCTTTTTATAAGTGATCACATTCCCTCTGTTCTCGACTGCAGAAGAGCTGGGGTAGGAGAAACAGTAGTACACTAAACTTCCCAGAGAAAAGCTGTGTGGGGGCGTGTCAGCACAAGTCTGATCATTGAAGGAGAGCACAGTGAGTTCCCAGCACAGCTAGAAAACTGACCACAGTGTGTTCTCCTGCTTAGTGTAGTCAGTTTTTAATAGGAATGCAGAGGGACTGGCAGGAACACCAGGGATTTTATACAAAAGGAAGCAAAACAAAGAGAAAAGGATACTTTTTCATAAAAGTATATGGTACAGCAGGCACATATCAGGAATATGAAAGGTTGGGTTTACATAGGATAAGTTCACCTTTAGGAGCATGTTACACCCATATTCAGAGTATAACATGTAACATGTTCCCTCCACCAGCGCTCCCCTCTCTGTGACAGTGGGCAGGGGTTCTGCTCCCCATACCTGCTGTTATAATTTGAAAACAGAGCGGCTATGTGGGGCTCTGCCCACTTGGCCATGTCATTTATTCACAATTCACTGTGAATGAATAGACTACAAGTACCGTCATTCATTTCAGCTGATGGCTTGTAGTACTGAATGAACTGCAAGAGCGCTGGTAGGCACTTTGGTAGTTCATTACTTTTTACTTGCTCTCAGGTAACTGCTTGCCCAAATGAGAGGTAAGGGCAGCCAGCTATCCTGAGAGTCTGCAGGAGCCTTGCATTGCACTGATGATATGCTGATCATGAGTAAATGCTCTGCAGTATCCTTTGAAAATGTAAGAAGTGCACATTTTTTTACCTGTAGAAATGTGCATTTATTATTCTTTTCAAAAGGTGAACTTATCCTTAAGCAAATAAGCTCTTTCCTAACATTTACCTGCCACCCTCTCCATTAGTACTTAACACCACCCCAACACTAAAATGAGCCCTGTAACCCTTGACTTAAAATACAGTGACAGAAATAAGACTCTTGGAATACGGTTTATAACAGCTCTGTTTTCATTTCCTCCAGCTTTTGTGTATGAGAGTATGAGAAAATATATTGTTTTATTTATTTAAAGCTGAACTCTAGTCTTACCTCCAGTTTTGCACAGTTGTACAGACTGTCTCACTCTGATTTCATTGCACACAGTGAGCTTCTCATAGTGTGCATTAAAAGTGGCAGCAGGTCAGCAATCCCACCTCATTTCTTGGCTGAGGGTCATCCAGCATCACCTAGTTCTTTCCTCCCCAGCATGACTGTCCCTCTCGTTCATTCATTGAATTTCAGTTCTTTCAGTCATGGAGTTCAGCATCACAAGTGGCTGTTATCTAGAGTAGCATGTACACAAATGCAGCCTGCCTAGGAATCTCCTTACCTCCAGACATCTATCAAGCCATTTTTGCCATTTCTATAACTCCTCCCAAGAACCAGCCCATTTCTTGCATCATCGCTGAGGACTGTTGAGAGAAGTTCTGAGGCAGGGTGATGTGACTTTTTTCAGGAAGCCCCTCTCACCAGCAGTGATTTGTCTGCATTTCATAGAGAAGCATATGGTCCCAGTGACGACACCACTGGGTTTAAAATAAGGTATGTAATGAAAACGAAAATATTTTATTAAATATTTTCATTTGTATTTGATGGGGGGGGACCAGTAAGGGCAAAATATATAAGATATTAAACTTAAACTAGACTTAAACCCTTTGCCTCCCTTTGATCTGCAGTTATCATAGTGCTGCACAAGTGATCAGTTATGTCACCAGCCATTTGATAGTTTGACAGGTTGAGAGCACAGGCAAATGTGAGTTATCATTCACAGCATATCTTGAATTTACCTACTTTGGGGAAACCATTACATTTTTAGGTTTAGCTCCACATAATGTTTTTATTGTTACTATATTAGCATTTACAAATGATCACTAAGTGGATTTCTTTTGCAGAAAATAGCTTCTGAGGAGCATCCACAAAAAACCATAGCAGAACTTACTGAGAAAATTTGGTGCACACAAACTTACCTACTGTAGAAGAGACAGATGAAAGTCTAGTACCAGTAAGTACTATCCAGGAAAAGAAACCTTTGTTTACCATTTCTTACCTTGCTGGATATAGATTGTATAATGTTAGAAATAGAGTTTTCTTTTGGTGATATTTAATCACCACTGGGCAGCCCTGGAATGACAGCTTTCAATCTGTCATTTTTTCCAGTGTGGGCATTTTTCCCATTTAATAGCGTGCAGCAACAGCCCTGAAGAAGGGAGAGTCGTTTCTCCCAAAACGCGTTGGATTGATGTACTTGTAATTATTCTCAACAAATGCCTCTTAATCTACCATCAGAATTGCATTCTTTTGGACATCAGGAGCTCATTTTCTCTATTATTCCATTTATATGAGACAGCATTCCTTCCACTGACATCAATGATGGGGCACTATTCCTCCCACTGATACCAATTATGCAGGCCATAGATGGGTCGAAAATCGGCCGATTTTTCTTTTAAAAAAACGAACAATCGGTCGTTCAAGTGGCCGACGTTACCACCAATGGTTAAAAAAAAACGGCCGATTTTCACCCCGTCTACAGCCGGCAAAAAGTGTCCCTGCAGAGAGCTCTGCTATTTCTGACAGTTCTCTGACAGTTCCTTGACATTTACAGCGGTTGCAACATTGTATCTATTTGTTTCCATTTAGGATACAGATGTTTTTATTTCGGAAACAATTAGATACAATGTTGCAACCGCTGTAAATGTCAAGGAACTGTCAGAGAACTGTCAAAGAAATAGCGGAGCTCTCTGCAGAGACACTTTTTTGCTGGACTGGAATTCCTCTTATTTTCATCCTACTTCTTCTTCTTTTTCATCCTCATCCTCTTCTTCTTCATCCTCATCCTCTTCTTCTTCATCATCCTCATCCTCTTCTTCATCATCATCCTCTTCTTCTTCTTCCTCATCCTCTTCTTCTTCATCCTCATCCTCTTCTTCTTCTTCATCCTCATCCTCTTCTTCATCCTCATCCTCTTCTTCTTCTTCATCCTCTTCTTCTTCATCATCCTCATCCTCTTCTTCGTCTTCTTCTTCTTCCTCATCCTCTTCTTCTTCTTCTTCATCCTCATCCTCTTCTTCTTCATCCTCATCCTCTTCTTCTTCTTCATCCTCATCCTCTTATTATTATTATTCATCCTCATCATCTTCTTCTTCTTCTTCATCCTCATCCTCTTCTTCTTCATCCTCTTCTTCTTCTTCCCTCCTCATCCTCTTCTTCTTCTTCATCTTCATCCTCATCCTCTTCTTCTTCATCATCCTCACCCTCTCTTCTTCTTCTTCTTCATCATCCTCTTCTTCTTCTTCATCCTCTTCTTATTATTCATCCTCTTCTTCTTCTTCTTCTTCTTCTTCTTCTTCTTCATCCTCATCTTCTTCATCCTCTTCTTCTTCTTCTTCTTCATCCTCATCCTCTTCTTCATCCTCATCCTCTTCTTCTTTTTCATCCTCTTCTTCTTCTTCTTCATCCTCATCCTCTTCTTCTTATTATTCATCCTCATCATCTTCTTCTTCTTCATCCTCTTCTTCTTCTTCTTCTTCATCCTCATCCTCTTCTTCTTCTTCTTCATCCTCATCCTCTTCTTCTCCTCCTCATCCTCTTCTTCTTCTTCATCTTCATCCTCTTCTTCTTTATCATCCTCATCCTCTTCTTCTTCATCCTCATCCTCTTCTTCTTCTTCTTCTTCATCCTCTTCTTCTTATTATTCATCCTCATCCTCTTCATCCTCATCCTCTTCTTCTTCTTCCTCATCCTCTTCTTCTTCTTCTTCATCCTCATCTTCTTCTTCTTCCTCATCCTCTTCTTCTTCTTCTTCATCCTCTTCTTCTTCCTCTTCTTCTTCTTCATCCTCTTCTTCATCCTCTTCTTTTTCTTCTTTTGTTGTCTTCCTCTTGCAGGTCACTGCTTATGCGCAGATTTTTTATATCGGTAAAAAATCGGCCGATTAGCCCATTATTGCCGCGCGAAAATCGGAGCCGACTCGGTCCGATAAAACCAAAAAAAAAAACTCGGCCGATTTTTTTCCAACTTTACCAAAAAAAAAAACGGCCAAAATCCCGAAAAAAAAGGTAAACGGCCGAACAAATAGCCCACTAACGATCCGAAAATCGGCCGATTTTATTTTCGGCCGAAAAATCGGCCGATTTTCGACCCATCTATGGCCTGCATTACTGTATCTGTAATTTTTTTACTCCCACTGAACACCAAAGCCTATGGCATTGTTCACTTCCACTGATGCCAGGGCATTTTCTACTCCTACTGACCACAGTCTGGCACCTCTAAATTTTGAAGGTTTTGAAAGTTTGTAGACCCCTGCACAAAAATTCCCTAAAACATATTTGCTTGTTTATTATGAATAACCAATAAAAAAAAAAAACAAAGGCATCTTTAGCACTGCTTGTCCCACTCTACATACCAGATCAGATCCAACATATTCAGGATTATTCAATAAAATCAATTTATTTCTGATTGGTTAATATGGGTTATCTTGCTTTTTTTTTCTAATTGCTCTGCAAAATAATGAGCATGAATGACCTAAATTACCCGGTCTGCAGGTGGAGCTTGTACACTACACTATTACACTGTATCTGTACAATTGTGGAATTTTTGCTAAAGGTGTTAATCCTATTGAGGCTTATGTATGAAAAGAAAATATCTTATTACCTATAGGAACCACTAAGCTCCCAACTGTCATGCATAAGCCTCTTAGCATTTTTTCACTTCTGTAAATACAAAAGAACCATCTAACATATGTGAGACTACAATGAGTATGCCATTATAAATTACTTATCTGTAAACCTGTTATAAAAATGATTACATTTCTCCATATACTCATATCCTAAGGGTGGCAGACAGAAGGACACAGAGGAAGCAACTGAAGCGGGTAAAGAGAAACCAGATGAAGACCAGCTGAAGAGTGGCACAGCAGACCCAGAGGAACCCTCTGAGACACCTGCTGTACAAGCAGAACATGGAAAGGGTTTGGAAGCTTCTGTGAGTGTTGAGGTGCCATCAGAAGAAAACAGACCAGGCTTTGATTCAGCCAACACAATCACAGAGCAAACCGAAATAGAGGACACAAAACCAATGGCTGCTACAGAGGAACTTGAGGGATGACATTATTAACTTGTGTTACATTATACATTTTCAATATATCTTTCTAGGTTTTTGAGTTACTCCTCTGACCTTCACTGGAAGCTACTTCATTGCTGTAGCCAACAAAGACACTTTTGAATGCACTGAATTGTATATCAAGCTCGAATTCAATTCTGTGTCTTGTGAGCCATACAGAAATTGAGAACAAATTACTGATATTTTGAAATATTATTTTTTTCTTATACATAGCTGTAGCCTTTGTTTTTGTCTGTTTAGATCTTGCTAGTTCTCTGGCAGTTTTTCAGAAATAGTAGACATTCTGACAGTTGAATAGAAGGGTGGTGCTTGGGTGTCAGGAAGGGGTAGGAGCTAAATCTCGGCTGACAAAGACATTGTGGCACTATCTGCAGACTAGGATCCAAGGGGCTCAAAAAGGATCACAAGGATTGGTATAATGCATAATATATTGAAAGCACAATATTGTTTATTGTATACTTGTACAATTTTACAGTATATATGTTTAATCCCATAAAAGACATGAGCATTTCTGAGTTTTGCTCAGTGCTCAAAAATGCTCAGTCTCTCTTGTATGATTAAAGGGTGTGGCATGGCACCACTGGAGGCCCCCATGAGAAATAAATTGAGGTGTACAAGTGCAGTACAACGTGTACATTTTCTGGAGAAAGGTGTTCCGCTCCAAATCGGATTGCACAGTGAAGATAACTGGATGAGGGCTGAAGGTACTGTAGGTATTTGACCTAGTGGGAAGCACTCGGGTTTGGTGAAAATATATTTAAAGGACAGTTGTACAAAGGTACAGTTGTCCTTTAAAATTGCTTGGCCAACACTAACATTTAAAGAATGAAAAAATATTGTGATAAAACATACATCAGGGTGTATAGTTTCAAACTGTGCAGAGTAGAAATAAAGATTAGAAAGTCCAGTACATAGTACAAAGTGAAGTAGTGTGCAGTATAGTGTACAGAGTGGAACATTGTGGAGTATATATTGTGCAGAGTGAAGCAGTGTGGCATATTTAAAGCTGAAGTTTAGGTAAGGCAATTTACATAGTTACTTTGGTCCAGCTTAGACCCTGTGGAATCCCTATGGAAGCGTGTAATCACTATAGTAGTCACTGCTTTCTAGAGACTGTCTTGTTGCATTGCAAACACAAGAGGTTACTTGCTCAGCTCAGGGTGCCTGTCAGAGAACACTTTGCATTTTCTAGTTGGGGAAAGGTGGGTCGATGACATCATGATCTCCAACTCGTCCAATGAGAAAACACTTTGCATTCATTGAGAAAATACAAAAGGGTTCTTTGAATGGTGCCCATGCCAACAAGCAACCACCTGTGTTGAGTATGCAGAAGAGCAGCACGCAGCATGGGACCCAGAAGCCAGCAACAACCACTGAAGCAATGGTGACTACTACAGTCATTCCCAGCTTCCAAAGGGATCCCACAGGTATGGCACATACTGTACACACTTACAATGGTCCAAGGTGAACTAATGTAACTATGTAAAAATTGCCATAGCTACACTTCAGTTTTAATGTACAAAACGGTATAGGGAGTAGTGTAGCAGTTTGAGGTTTAAAATACTGTAGAGAATGGAGCAGAGGTCATACAACACAGTGTACAGATTGGAGATATTTGACGTTAAGAACACATAGCACAGCGTGAACAGGTGCAGCATATAGAACAACAGAGTCTGGTATAGGTGATAAAGCAATGATCAGTAACCTGGAATGAAATTTCCAGAGGCAAATCTCTAAAGCTTGTGATTGCCCTTAGAATGAAGAACAATAGCCAGCTTTGGGTGTGCCGGGCTTAAATGGCATACAATGTAGATAGGCATTATGCATGATATCTAGGTGAGAAGGCAGGTTTCATTGTTGGCTTTCTGGGATATGGGTGCTGTGCAGTACTATTAAAGTCACTTCATGTGTGTGTTGCTGTATTAAACTGTGTAGGGCAGGCCATACACAATGCAATTTTCTTTGTGATCGCAGGAAAGAAAATTGTTTGATTCCCCCATCAACACAGTCAGTGTTAATGGGGGAATCCCTCCCGTAGAGCTATTGTGTTCTCTCAGAGGAGCGAAGGGAGGAGGGCTGGGGGAGCTGTCCCTGCCGGGAGAACACAGTGATTACTGTTAGAGGCTGTAATAGCTGCTAGCAATAACCACATGGAAAAACCGACATACTGGTTATACCCAAGTCATTCAACAAGCACCTTAGGTACAATCAGCCTGACCATAGATGGATCGAACCCCCGCCAGTCCCTGCTGAACCAGCCGGGATTCGACCCATCTATGACAAGCTTAAGTCCTACGACTCTTCCTCATTGAATTCATAGAGGTGCCTTCCCTCTGTGCAACACTGACGTAATAGAAGGCTTATCAGACAAAGGACTCTCTGCATACACAGGAATATGGAATCAATAACATACTCACTCAAATTTGACAATCACAGCATGCTTGACTGTTTTCTGCGGTGCATAGATGGTGCTTCCTTACATGTTTTGCCCAACCTGGGCTTCGTCAGGGGAATGGTGGATAGCCTGTCTCTTCCACTGAGGAAGCCTAGGTTGGGAGAAACATGTAGGGAGCACCATCTATGCACCGCAGAAAACAGTTAAGCATGCTGTGATTGTCATGTTTGATGTACCTACCTGTATTTAATGTAATGCCATTGCAATAAATTAGTAAAAAAAACTTTTAAAAATCAGTTGGTCAATTGTTACGCACCTCCAATATCCCATAACTACTTTCTTTTGTATAATCACTAATAGTCAGTGAAGTCCTCCCAGTTTTCTAATACTGGGATTTCATTTATTCAAAATGTATTGCTGGCCTTGGGCAAAGGGATGATTCATAATTATTTACATATTGTACAGTGAAGCATTTATAATTAGGATGCATCTATACAAAGAAACTATAACTGCTCAGACAAGTCTCTGCCCTGAATACTGGCATAATGGGTGCTAGCAAGGTTGAAGGTTTTGCTCAGTGCACAGTGTGTCATATGTATGCAAAAATGGTGCAACAGCTTCAGGATGAATACCGCTGTGACAGATGTGAGCAGCTTTTCATTCTAGAAGCTTGCGTTAGAGATCTAGAGGAGTTGCAATACTGAGCAGAAAGGACAACTGTGAAAGGAGCCTTCTGCTCACTGAGCAGGTGGTTAATGGGGTTGATGTGGAGGGTGGAGGGGTAAGTCAGGATTAACAGGTAGGAAGATGGGTTAATGTAGTTAGGGGGAGTGGTAGAAATTCACAGAAAAGGAAGAAAAGTGCTGTATTTGAGCACCAAAACAAATCTGCCAAGTTGAATGAAGATGTGGAGGTGGCAAACACAGGTGGCAGCCCTGGATGTCACTGCTACCCATAACGGCTGGGAGATCAACCCACCTAGTACAGTTGGTTAGGGTAGTGCAGGAAGGCCTAGACATTTGGTGGTAATAGTGGATTCTACAATCAAAAAGACTAATAGAATAATTTGTTGCCAGGATCACCTCAACCAAATGGTTTGCCATCTCCCAGTGCCAGGGTTTGGCGTGTGGTGGACCGGGTTAATAAATTACTGGGAAGGGCTGGGCATGACCCAGCTTTGTTGGTCCATGTTGGAACCAATGGAAGAATACTTGGAAGGTGGAGGCTCCTTAAAAATCAATTTAAAGAACTAGGGAAGGACCTCCAAGATGATATTCTCTAAAATACTGCCTGTGCCATGCGCAACACAGGAAAGACAGGGGGAGATTAGAGAACTGAATGCATGGCTAAAGAATGTGGTGTAAGAAGGAAAGATTTGGGTTTCTAGTGCACTGGGCTGACTTTTCATTGGGGTACAACCTATACGCATGACAGGGCTATTAATATTCTTAGATATGCTCTCTTTCAGAGAGACAAGGTAAATCGTAAAGGTGGTGGTGTCTCTATGTGAGAAGTGATCTCAAAGCAAGTGTGAAAGAGGACCTGGTTGATGGAGAGTGGGATGGGGCTGAAGCATTATGGGTGTGTGTAGTTCAAAGTTAATCATTGGAGTTTGTTATAGGCCATCAAGTGTTAATGAGGAGGTAAAGACTCAGCTCCTTGCACAGATGGAAAGGGCTGCAAGGGCTGAGACAGTGATACTAATAATGGAGGATTTTAACTTCCCTGATATTAATTTAAGTATTGGCACTGCAGGAACAGTTAAAGGACAAAAATGTATAAATGTATTACAAGACAATGTTATGGTACAGTTCATAGAGACCCCAACTATGATGCTTTGCTGGATCTGGTAATCTCAAACCATGCAGAGCTTATTACTAATGTTCATATAAAAGAACATCTGGTTAGCAGTGACAATAACATGATTTCATTTAATCTTAGCTGTAAACAACAAGCACATACTGGAAAGATAAAAACACTTAACTTTAAGAGGACACATTTTCCAAGTAGGAGGGCTGCTCTCCAAGACTTCGATTGGGAGGGAATATTTGCATCAAAGAACACAGAACAGAGACTGTGTGTGAACATACTGCAAAATACACTATATTGCCAAAAGTATTGGGACACCCCTCCAAATCATTGGATTCAGATGTTCCTCCATAGCCACAGGTGTATGAAATCAAGCACCTAGGCATGCAGACTGCTTCTACAAACATTTGTGAAAGAATGGGTCGCTCTCAGGAGCTCAGTGAATTCAAGCGTGGTACCGTGATAGGTTGCCACCTGTGCAATAAGTCCATCTGTGAAATTTCCTTGCTACTAAATATTCCACGGTCTACTGTTAGTGGTATTATAACAAAGTGGAAGCAACTGGGAACAATAGCAACTCAGCCACAACGTGGTAGGCTACGTAAAATGGGGGGGGGGGTCAGTGTGGTCAGCGCATGCTGAATTGCGCAGAAGTCGCCAACTGTCTGCAGAGTCAATAGCTAAAGACATCCAAACTTCATGTGGCCTTCAGATTAGCACAACCATGCATAGAGTGCTTCATGGAATGGGTTTCTGTGGCCGAGTAGCTGCATCCAAGCCTTACACCACCAACTGCAATGCAAAGTGCCTGATGCAGTGGACTCTAGAGCAGTGGAGACATGTTTCCTGGAGTGAAAAATCACACTTCTCTGTCTGGCAATCTGATGGATGTGTCTGGGTTTGGCAGTTGCCAGGAGAACAGTACCTTCCTTGACTGCACTGTGCCAAATGTAAAGTTTGGTGGAGGGAGGATTATGGTGTGGTGTTGTTTTTCAGAGGTTGGGCTCAGCCCCTTACTTCCAGTGAAGGGAACTCTTAAGGCATCAGCATACCAAGACATTTTGGACAATTTCATGCTCCCAACTTTGTAGGAACAGTTTGGAGATGGCCCTTCCTGGTCCAACATGACTGCGCAACAGTGCACAAAGCAAGGTCCATAAAGACATGGATGAGTGAGTTTGGGGTAGAGGAATTTGACTGACCTCAACTCGACAGAACACCTTTGGGATGAATTAGAGCAGAGACTGTGAGCCAGGCCTATTCTGACATCAATGCCTGACCTCACAAATGCGCTTCTGGAAGAATGGTCAAACATTCCCATAGACACACTTCTAAATCTTGTGGACAGCCTTCCCAGAAGAGGTAAAGCTGTTATAGCTGCAAAGGGTAGGCCAACTCAATATTGAACCCTTTGGACTAAGACTGTGATGCCATTAAGGTTTATGTGCGTGTAAAGGCAGGCATCCAAATACTTTTGGCAATATAGTGTATATTCCCATGGACAATAAGTACAGAAGGCTAAAAATAAAACCTACGTGGCTCAGGTCAAGTTAAAAAAGCTATAATTATTAAGATAAGAACTTTTAAAAAATATAAAAATTAAGGAACACTATTATCATTTAAATGTTACAATGAATATAACAGAATATGCAAAAAGGAAATCAAGGATGCAAAAATTCAAAATGAACAACAGCCCCCCAAAAATTCAAATACATTAATAGTAAAAAGGTCAGGTCTGAGCATGTAGGCCCTTTACAAAATAATCTAGAGTGGGTGACTGGGGACAAAGAGAAGGCAAATGTATTAAATACCTTCTTCAGCTCTGCGTATATATAAAAAAGCATGGGGGTGCCCATATCCATAATGGGGATGATATTGACAGAGCCTCAAATGATCCACAATGGCTTGAAATTGATATGGTTCAGAAATATTTAGACAGAATAACCATGAACAAAGCACCTGAACCAGATGGCATACACCCATGGATCCTAAAAGAATTGAGCTCTGTCATTTCAAAGTCACTGTTTCTAATATTTAGAGACTCTTTAATGACTGGCATAGTACCTCTGGACTGGTGTAAGGCCAATGTGGTGCCTATATTTAAAAAGGGATCTTTACCAATTAACTATAGACCTGTTAGTCAACTTCTATAGTTGGGAAGATACTGGAGAGTTTAATAAAAGATCACATAGATGAGTTCTTGCTAGGAAAAAAAAATATTTTAAATAACAGACAACATGGATTCATGAAAGACAGAAGTTGTCAAACAAATCTGATCTCTTTTTATGAGGAGGTAAGCAAAACCTTAGACAAAGGAGTAGCTGTGGAAGTGGTTTACTTGGACAGAGGGGTGGCGGTGGACGTGGTATACTTGGATTTTGCAAAAGTGTTTGACACAGTTCCCCACACACAGCTAATATGTAAGGTAAAGTCTACAGGCTTGGAGAAATCAGTTTGTAAACGGATAGAAAACGGATAGAAAACTGGCTAAAAGACCGAATTCATAGAGTGGTGGTTAATGATTCATATTCGGACTGGTCTAGTGGTGTACTCCAAGGTTCAGTGTTGGGACTCTTACTTTTTAATAGATTTATAAATAATATAGGGTCTGGAATTAAAAGCACTATTTCAGTGTTTGCAGATGACACCAAGCTATGCAGTGGAATAACGTCCTTACAAGATGTCTTCAATTTACAAGCTGACCTCAATGCAACTATGTGGCAAATGATGTTTATTGTTGATAAATTTAAAGTTATGCGCTTGGGGGCTAAGAATATGCATGCATCATACATACTAGGGGGAGTATAACGGGGAATTAATGGTGGAGAAGGATCTGGGAGTTCTGGTAGATCACAAGCTTAATAATAACATGCAATGCCAAGCTGCGGTTTCTAAAGCGAGTAAAATCCTCTCTTGTATTAAAAGAGGTATAGACTCCAGAGAGAGAAAGATATCATTTTACTCCTGTACAAATCATTAGTAAAACCTCAACTGGAATATGCAGTTCAGTTTTGGGTACCAATTCATTCACAAAAATAACATTGAGGAACTGCAGAAAGTACAAAGAAGGGCAACCACACTGATAAGAGGCATGGAGGAGCTCAGCTATGAGGAAAGATTAGAGGAACTGAATTTATTCTCTCTTGAGAAGAGGAGATTAAGGGGGATATGATTAACATGTATAAATACATAGGTGGTCCATATAGGGAACTTGGTGTAGTTATTCACTTTAAAGTCATCACAGCGGACAAGGGGGTGCTCTTTACATCTGGAGGAAAAGAGATCTAATCTCCATATATGGAAAGGGTTCGCAGTAAGAGCTGTTAAAATGTGGAATAGACTCCCTCAAGATCTGGTTCTGGCAGCTCAGTATATTGTTTAAAAAAGGCCTGGATCCTTTCCTAACTGTACACAATATAACTGGATACCAGGGGCGGACTGACAACTCATGGGGCCCCCGGGTAATAGGGGATCATGGGGCCCCTGTGTCCTTGCCCAAACTCAAAAAAGCCTATGAAAAAAGGACCAGGGGCATCCCATGGGGCCCCCTACTGACCCCGGGCCCTCGGGCAGTGCCCGAGTTTCCAAATGGTCAGTCCGCCCCTGCTGGATACTAATATTTATAGGTAAAGTTGATCCAGGGAATATCCAATTGCCTCTAGTGGGATCAGGAAGGGCCTTTTCCCCTGCAGGAGCAAATTGGATCATGCTTTATTGGGTGTTGTTTTGCCTATATCAACTGTGAATATACGATTGTGTAAATACAGTTCAATTGTATAATTTTTTCCCCTTTTATTGGTTGAACTACATGGACTTTGTCTTTTTTCAACCAAACTATGTAACATGCGATGGAGTAGATGGGACTGGAGGAGGACATAGGATGGAGGAGATGGGACTGGAGGAGGAGGACATAGAATGGAGGAGATGGGATTGCAAGAGGAGGAAGATGTGGAGAGGAGATGGGAGGAGGAGGAGGACATGGGATGGAGGACATGGAACTGGAGGAGGACATGGGATGGGAGAGATGAGACTGGAAGAGGACATGGGATAGGGAGATGGGAATAGAGGAGGAGGACATGGGATGGAGAAGGTGGAGGATGTGGGATGGAGGAGATTGGATTGGAGGAGGAGGAGATGGGACCGGAGGAGGAGGAGATAGGACTAGAGGACGAGGAGGACATAGGATGGAGGATATATAAAAGTGGGTGCCCTAAAGGACTTGGTGGGATGGTCAGTGGACGGATTCAGTGGGTTGACCAGAGGGGGGGCCCTGGGGAATGTTAGTGGTCAGGCCCAAGCCTAAAGCTGTGTAAGGGGCCCCAAAATTTCTGAAGGCTGCCCTGCCCTTCTCCTAAAAATTGACTTTTAACTGTGATCATTCGTGGTCATTTTGATTAGGTCAGCCTGAAATGAGCATTCCTGGAGCATTTCAGTCCCTGTTAGTGCAAATGAAGCAAACAATCAACTATGGACGGCAAGGCACTGTCAGAAAGAAGCACAGTGAAGACTATTATTAAAAAGTAGAAGGTATTTGGTACAACACCGTCCCTCCCTGGATCAGGACGTTGCTTCAAACTGGATGAGAGAGTTAGGAGGAAACTGGTCAGAGAGGCTACCAAGAAGCCTACAGCAACTCTGAAGCAGTTGCAGGAATGTATGACAAAGAGTAGTCATTGTGTTCATGTGACAACAATATCACAAAGTCTTAACAAATGTGGCTTGTATGGGAGGGTTGCAAGAAAAAAGCCACTCCTCAAAAAAGGCCACATGCAGTCACGACTGAGCGTTGCAAAAATGCATCTTGAAGATTCTGAGGTGATATGGAAAAAGGTGTTATGGTCAGTTGAGACTAAAATTTAATTATTTGGCCTCAACACTAAACAATATGTCTGGCGGAAATCCAATACAGCTCACCATAGAAATAACACCACTCTTACAATAAAGCATGGAGGTGGTAATATCCTGTTATGGGGGTGTTTCTCTGCAGCAGTGATTGGAGCACTTGTCAGGATAGAGGGATATGACGCCACAGGGTCATGTGGCTTCATCGGGGGATATGATTCGTAATTCCCTGATGAAGCCACATGACCCTGTGGCGTAACGCGTAGGGGAGGGGCTCTGAAGTCACCACGTTCTGTCGGCCAGCTAACGGCGAGTATTGTTAGTGTGCAGACCACACACAAAGGCATTTATCACAGGCGCGTTTTGATTGTTTTTAATGTGAGTGCAATTGCTCATTTGATTATTAAAATGTTTAAAAGGATAAGACACTATTTCTCGTTTTCTTTTTGATACCCTTATGTGGAGTTCTGGAGGGGATATATAGGCAAATAGACCCCTGGAGGTGAGAGTGAGGAATCCTTCCATATCCATCTTATTAAGCAGCATTGTGGAGAGACACCAGGTGGATCATTAGCATACAACAACGTGCAACCAGCTGAGTGGGAGATCTGAAGCAGGAGTAGTTTTCATCTGTCCTGTCAGGACAAAAAGTGTTTTTTGCCTATTTATATATTAGGCAAAAATTGGAGATGAGCGCATATAATTAATTTAGCACGGGAGCGCAGCACTGAATATTATTATTCATTAATAATATAAGTTTTATTTTGGATAAAACAAAAACTGTGTCTGTCTTCATTTCAGGCTGCAAATCAACAAAATGTGATTATTTTATAGAGGGGTGATTCTTTCTACACCCACTGTACATAACTAATATGTTTGGTCCTGTATTCTGGGAAATAAAAAAAAAATATTAAACTTCAGCTTTAAAGCTACCCACTGTTTGGTTATTTGGCCAGCTCATCTTGCCGGTTACGTGTATCCAGCTTCCCAGAAAGTACATTTTCATATGGAGGGAGGTATGATGCAGAAGGAAATGGGTCGGCCTGCAATCTAGACTATACTGTAAACAGAGCTGACTCAAATCCTAGAAGCACCTATAGAAAGTCACAAGG